ACTTAAACCTGCTCCCCTTCCTCCAACCTTTTCTTGCTGCAGGTGCCGGGAGCTCAGCTTCTCTCCGGCTGAGATCGGTTGGCAGGGAGAGGGCATTTGTTCCAGGAAGGGACCCTTGGGCATCTCGGGACAGCCTGTGCAATAGGCGGGGGCTGGACTCCTCCGATAACGCCAGCCATGATCTAGCCAGGGGCATCTCCTCTGAGATGAAGGAGGATCCCATTTCATCCTGCACTCCAAACGGCGCCAGGCTGAGCGGCCAGAGGGGTGCCTGCTGGGGACCAGACTGGGAGGCCACGTGCAACCCGCAGGTTGTGTGCAACCGGTGCAGCCAGGACCTCTCACATGCTGGGCCAGGGGTGCTGCTGCCTCACATGAAAGGCTCTCATGCGGAGAACACTTCCCACCGCCACCTTGTTTGTATTGGTGTAGCTCAGTGGTGCTCAGCCTCTGGCCTGCAGGCCTCATCCGGCCCTCGGAGATCCCTGTGGGTCCAGAAATCTGGCAGGGGTGAGGAGACAATTAACACTGCCACCACTCCCTCACTGCTGAATTTCCAAACCCATGGGCCAGCTGGCATGGTCCTGCACACAGGGCCGGGGCTGCAGCCAGAGCTGTGCTGGCCCATGTGCCAGCTCGGACCCACAGCCCTTTTCCTCTTGCACTTCTGTTGTCTGTAGCTGAGTGAAAACTGTCTGTCTGGGGAGAATCTCGTTTCCTTTGTCCCATCGGTTCCTGCCCAGCTGTTGCTGAGATAGGGGCTATTTAAAAATTGTGGTTTTCATTCTCTTGCTTCCTTTCCTAAGGAAACTGTGGTTGCCTTTTAAAGGCACTGCACAAAACGGTCTCCCCCATGGCAGCAGGGCATGCCGGATGGGGCTGCCAGACCACTGCTAGCTGAGCACACGGGCAGGCTTTGACCCCAGTCATCTCCTTTTGGGCATCACACAGGGAAGAGCGACTCAACTGGGGCTCCCTGCCCCACTTGGACCTAGCACTGCCTATTTCCTTCCCCTTCCCCGCTGCCAAGAGCAGCCTGGTGTGGCAGCTAACGTGGTCGCTGGCTGCGATCTGCACAGGGGAGCACGGCGTTCAGCCCCACTGACAATGTGGGCTGGGAGGTTGTTACAGGTGCATGAAACGTGTTTCTTGTTTTTAAAACCCGAGCAGCCGAGGAGCTGTTCAGAGAGCGTGGTTTCAGTGGTGAGCACACACGCTTGAACTATAAGTGACGCTAGCTGTGGCCCCGTGTACTGGCGTGTTGGGGCGTGCTCTCTGATTACATGCTCATGAGCTGCTTTTTTCCACCAGGACCTCATCTCGTGGCACCCACAACTATGGTTGTACGCCTGGTGCTTCTCTGTCAAGTGCTGGACCTTGCAACTGCAGTGCCACATTTTCCAGGGCCGTGCATCTTTGGGGAGTGTTCATCTAACATACAAACTCTGAGACTTCAAACCGCTGGAGCCGGGGGCGTGGGAAGGTGATTGGATGAAGGGCAGGAAATGGTTTCTGTCTTCAGCTCTTGAAAGTTTTGTGCCCGACTTTTGCATATCTCTGCAGCTGACATGGCTGGCAGTTGAAAGCTGATTTTTGGCAGGAAAATAGCTCTCGCTGAGGAGAGGTATTGTGGAGCCTCCTGATGACAATTGAGCTTGATTTGTCTGAGTGAGGTGTCTTTAGAAAGTGCCTGCTGTACACACCAAGCGTGTTCACATGGGGCTCTTGGTGAGGCGTGGAGTGCGCAGCAGAGGAGAGCAGCTTTGTGCCACGGCAGGGGCATTGGCTGCCAGCTGGAGAGGTGAGCCACGGGCCGTGGGCTTGGACTGAAAGCAGGGAAGGGCAGAGGGAAGCTGTTCCTGGCTATACGGGAGAGGATCTTCTTCGTGCGGGTTTCCGAGGTGGGCAGGACCAGTGGTCAGCTGATGCCTGGTCTGGACAGTGGAGTTTGGAGGCACTGTAGTTGTGGCTTTGGGAGCTGCCAGTCAGCTTGAGGCCTGCACTGTGAGGCACCACTTTGGCTCCTTTCTGTGACTTTTGGTTTAGGAAAAGCCACTCTGGAAACACAGCACAAGGACACTTAGGAATGCAAAGGCTGCACAGTTAACTTGGGCATTTCCTGACTTTCCAGCACTTCAGGTTGCGTCATTCCAGCCCTGCCCCTTGTCTACATCTGCATGGACACCAGTCTCTAATTATAGTCACGTGCTGGGGTTTTGTGAAATGCAGCACACCATGCCTTTGCTGGCAACCTTTGCTACATGGACATAGTGTCTCCGCTCTGTGCGCCAGCCCGTCCATCCACAGAAGCTTTTTGTAGGAAAGAGTGGGCCATTCCCGGCGCTCGGTGCAGAATCGGGGCCCTGGGACTCCCCAGAGCCGTGCTGGTTGCCCACCCGTACAGCTCAGCTTGGGAAGACATCATGAGTGATGGGAGCAAAAACCGTGGACAAATGTTTCCCCATCCTCAGCTTGCTTCCTGTGTGTGACAGCTTGTCGCCTCACACGTTCCAGTTTCCCCTGCACAGTCATTTTCTCCTGCTGCCTGCACAGGGGCCTCACGGCAGAGGCGAGAGATGAGCCTTTTCAATAGGGGAATCATCTGTAAAAGCTGAGGGGGCCGGGGGCTCTCTCGGGACCTGCTGTGCCTGTGGAGTCTGTCTTTGCTGAGAGAAGGAGGCGATCCCCAGGTCTGGAGCTGGAGATGTGTTGCAACAGGGTGCCTCAGTGATGGATGCAAATCCAGGGATTTTGGGAGCACGGATAGATCTAAGTGGGGATGACCTGACCTTTGGCTCTTCCTGACTCCTGAGTGTTTAATTGTCTGGTGGGTGCCACTTTCTGCCAGGACTGTGGTGCTTGTAAGAAGGAAGCCCACATAGCAAAGGTGAAGCGTGTCAGGCGTGCAATAGCATCCAGGCTGAACGCTGGCTCCCCAGGCCTCTCACATACTGTCTTTGCCCCATGAGCTGCCGTTGGGTAGGTGCCAGGCAGGCGGGTGGGCAGTGGGTCGGCTCTTGTGACCTCCGGGCACTCGGGCCAAAGGAACATCCTTGCTCTTGGTGATCGGTTCCCTCCTGCCGAGCTCTGTCCCCAGCCCTTGCACCCCATCTGCAGGGGGATGTGGCTTGTGTGGAAGTGGTGAGGATAGGAAGCTGCATTTGGTGGCAGCCTTTTTGGGGAGAGAGGAGCAAGCATCACTTGTTTGGCCTCTCCCTGGGCCTGTTGCTGAGGAGCCGGTGACTGCAACAGTCCAGGCCAGGGAGCAGAGCTGGGTCCAGGAATGCGGTGGGCACGTGCCCTTGCCCTGCAAGTGCCTCTGCCAAAAGGTGTGTGAGGCCCCAGGCTCCCCCCGTACCCACCTGGAGCTCACCTCGCCTGCCACGCTTCACAGGCAGCTTGGCAGCACATTGGGCCTGGTTGTGCCAAGGCAGCTTCTCGCTCCTCCTCCCGGGATCCGTTTCCTGCCCACAGGCGCAGCTGTTGTGCATGTCAGCCTGCACTGGCCATGCACAGTAATGGGCAGGCGGGTGGGGGCCTTGGGAAGCAAGAGCGGGGCCTGCTGCAGCCGGCCTCTCCCCTGCCCTCTGGAGCACCCGCTGGGCCAGGGCCGAGCTTGCCTGAGCGCGTGCATGTCCCTGCTGCCTGCCAGGGGGTGCGATTTTGTGTCTGCTCTGTTACCCCGGGGTCAGTGATCTCCTGTCCTTATTGCCCAGGGAGATGTGCCCCTTGCCCCCCTGCCACAGAGCTGGAGCCATGGCTCTAGGGCTCCCTGCTGCCGTCTGGGGCACCAGCTCAGTGCAGCCATTTGTTTTGCAGCAGGGAAAGCAGCACCGGAGCAAACTTTCTCCCAGCTGCTTCTAGTAATCGGAAACTGTCCCCACCCTCTGCCTTTGTCCCCAACCTTTCCACCCAGCTGAAGGTCAGGCGAGGGAGCTGGGAGGAGCTCCAGGTGCTGGAAACTCCCCACTCCATGGGATGCTGCCTGCAGCTCACTGCAGGGTCTCGCTGGCTTCCCTGGAGCTTCCCTCCACCAGCGAGGGGCTGTTCAGCTTGCTGCACAGCTTTCGGGGTGCACAACGCATGGCAAAGCTTCCGGGTCCTTCCTGCTGCCTCCTCAGAGCCCAGCCTTGCCTCCATTGTTCCTGAGCCCCTTCTGCACCCACCCTGCATGTCCTCCCATGCGCGGATCAGGCCGAGGGGCGGCTTCCAGCACCTGTGAGGCCCTTGGAGCTGCCGAAGAGCCCAGCTCCCTGCTTGTGTGCATGCTGAAGCTCAGGGAGCTCACCAGGCCCTCTGGGCACAGTTCCTTTTGTCTCGGCACCTTGGTATCCGTGCACTTCCGCGAGCTGCAAGTGCGTTGCTCCTCTTCCCTCTTAAAGGCTCTGGTAAAGGACCCTTGCTGCTGCTGGACAGGAGGGTGTTGGGAGCGTGGGAGGAGATGGGCTGGGCTGGTGCCGCCTTGTGGAGAGGACTGTGCTGCCCCCAGCTCTGGCACCACTGGCTGACCCCCCAGGACATCCACTTCAGAAGGCTTGCTCCCCTCAACACAGCGCCCCACACTGAAGAAGCACCCAGTGTGCAGAGCCTGCAGCACCCAGTCTGGGAGCAGTCCGGCTTGTGCACACGTGGGCACTGGCCGGCAGCTCTGAGCAGAGTAGCCGTGCAGGGCAGCAGTGCGTGGGCACAGGGTGGTTTCCCTCCTGTCACTGAGGGGGAGCGCACAAGGTGTAGGGCTCTTTCACCTGCCTGAAGAGCTCTTTGCTGCAGTAGCTGGAGTGCAGTGGTGCTGAGCCCTGCTCTGCACCCAACCCGGCACTTCAAGCCCCATATCAAACCAGGTCAGTGGCCGTGGCTCGGTCTGCTGCACCATCCAGCGAGGGGGTCGCAGGAGCATTGGCTGCAGTCGCCTTTTCTTGGTGAAACCAAGATGTAACAGCCTGTGATGTGGGGTTGTCAGGCCTGCCCCTGCCCTCTGCTAACCCCCTGTCTCTCTGCAGAGTACAGCCGCTTCGAGTCAAAGATCCACGACCTGCGAGAACAAATGATGAACAGCAGCATGAGCTCTGGCTCTGGCTCACTCCGGACCAGTGAGAAGAGATCCCTCTACGTCCGGTAAGGCACATCTTTCCCCTCCCCGTGGGTTCCTCTGCCTCTGCTAAACTGGGTGTGGCCAGGGGCCCCTTGACTGCAGGGAGGGGAGGGTCTCACCCCGAGGTTTTCCATTGAGCACCCCCACACTGCAGCCGACCCCTCCAGTGACATGGGGCCCATCTCTTCCTTTCTACAGTTCAATTTTGCTCTGCCTACACTCTGGGGACACGTTGCAGGTGGGGGCACCTCTCCGGTACATACATGTGTGCACATGTGTGCAAGACCCCTGCCAGGACTGGCTTGTGCTGGGCAGAGGTCCTCCCAGACTGAGCCTCCACCTGGGAGCACTTATCCCAGGGCCATCTCTGAGCAGAACATCTTTGCCTTGCTCCCCCCACCATAGGGAGCATTTGGAAATAAAAGGGCCACCAGGGAATGGGGAATTTGCCATCAAGGTTGCCTGGGACTAGCAATGCCCTAAGCAGGGAGGATCGGGAACTTTGTGGTAGGGATGTGTGCTCAGGCACCTTGTGGCTGCACCTTCCCAGAGCTGTGGTCAGGTGCAGGGCTGTCTGAGCTGACTCCTGTCTCCCTCTCCAAGTCCCTGAGGCTGGGTCCGGCTAGAGGGGAGACGAGCTGTGTTGGATTATTGTTTCAGTCCTGGGCCAGGCCCACGGGTCAGAGCCGTGCTGGGGTCCCCATCGGTCAGAGCAAGGCAGTGATGAAGCTGCATCCGATGTCCGGGGATCCTTGCCTTGCTGCTTCAGCCCCTTCCTTCCCCGCCCCGCACAGATCCTCCCCCCCTTCCACTCCAACCCCTATGTGCCAGTACCGGGCCTTGCTGTACTGGGCACCGGGCATGCAGGTACTGGGTGCTTTCTCCTCAGCCAGCAGCTGCGTGTGTAGCTAGGAAGTGATTGCAACTTGCTAATTAAAATGAGTCACGGTGTAGGGGGGTGGGCAGGCATCCCAGCAGGACAGCTGACAGCTGTGTACTGAAAGCTGCCTGGAGAGGGACAAGATTGCAAGGCCTTTTTTTTCTTGGCTCTGTCCCTGTCCTGCACCAGAAGAGGCTCCTGCAGAGGGAACCCAGGGCCAGGGCTGCTAGGTTGTGCTCTGATGTCCATGTTTTTGGTGGGCTCTGGCACTGGAGCTCTGCTGTGGGCCCTGCGCGTGGCCCTGTGTCAGCCTCTCGTTGGCATGCCCCATGCCCTCATCTGACATCCCAGTGGAGGAGCACAGGTGGTCCCAGGTGGATCTGACCCTGGTCCCTAAATCCAGCCTTGCTGGGCTGGCTCCTTGCAGACTCCGTGCACCACTGGGCATTTCTGTGTGCTGTGTAATGCAGAATGGGTCTGGCAGGGGCCAGGCAGTGGAGATGCCCCTGTTGATGCTGCCATCAGATGGCCTGGGGGTCAGGCTTCAGGTCTGGGCTGGGCTGCACAGGCCTTCAGGAGCCCAGGTATGTCTGATCGCTGCAGGGAGCTGTTCTCATGAGCAGATGGTAAGAGATGGTGCTTTGACAGGATCCTATGCTTGTTGGTACCAGAGGTGCTTCTTTCTGCCCCCAGAGCTGAGGAGCTCCATTCCCTCCCATGGCAGGCACCTGCCTCTGGTGGGCGTGGGGCTGACATTTGCACCACATCTGCTCACATTGCCTGGCTCATGTGCCCTCCGCATGCTTTCGCGCAGGGTCATGTCACTGAACCAGGCCCATTCCTCTGCTCTGGGCACAGCAGCTCTTCAGAGCCTGTCCAAAAATCCCTTCCAGCCCAGCTGCCCTGTCAGGCCCTCTCCTGCCTGCCATTCGCCAGCCCCACCCTCTTCAAGCCCTAGTCTGTGACGGGTCTCCTGTGGCCCAGAACCACGCTCCAGAGCCACCTTGCACCTATCTTGGAGAGCCCCGCCCCAGGCTTCTGGGGTGGGGTAGTTTCGAACACAGTTTAGCTGAAACTGGTTGAGCTGTGCCAGGGACAGGACAGCAATTGCCGGGCTCACTGCCAAGCTGCCTTAGTCAGTCCTCCGGGCAGGCACACGACTGTGACGTCAGGTGGGGAGCCCCTGCCAGCAGGAAGCAAGTGCCTGCCCCAGGGCTGGGCACGCCTGCACCTTTTTGGCTGCCAGATGCCCCCGGTCATCCGTGCACCAGTGACCACTCTCTCCAGAGCTCGTCCGGACACGCCGCAGTGTAACACATGCTGCAGGCCCTCCTGTTCCTGCCCCAGCTCAGGGCACCGTCCCCCCTGCTGTGACAAGTCTCCCAGGCCTGGCCGGTCCCGGGACCCTGCTGTGTGCAAGGCTTCCTCCCTCCCTCCTTTTTTCTGAGTGCTGCTGAGAAACCTCTCGCCTCCCTGCAGCAGTGGGCTGTGGCCTGGCTTGTAGCCACTGCACCCTGCCTGTATCTATACTCCAAGAGCCTGCGAGGTGGCTGCTGTTAGCCACTAGCAGCACAGCCCCTGTTCCATGTCCAGTCTGGTGGTGACAGGCACGCTGTGTTTGCAGCCTCTTCCAGCAGCCAGCACTGAGCCCTGATCCACACCCCAAGTTGCCAGGAGGAGTTCCTGCAGGCCCCATACAGCTGTGCAGACCCAGCCTGGAGCGTGGTCCTCTGCTGTGGCCTCGCTGTCAGGGTGCAGGCATGTTGTTCCTTTGGCTTCCCAGGGTCATATGCAGCACAGGATGGTTGTTGGATCTCAAGGGCACTTGGAGCTAGGCGCTGTGGTGACAAACGGGAGCAGTGCAGGGAGGGAGTTGAGCATGGAGTGGGTCTCTGAGGAGCTCAGGATGCTGCTTGTGGCAAGCTGGCGGGTGTAGGTCCCCAGGAGCACGGTGCCATAGAGAGCTGCCTGGCAAGGTGCTCGTAGCTGCTCATCTGGAGGCTTGTCGGAGCGTCTAACCCAGCGTGGGCATGGTCAGAGAGTCAGATCCCGGGAGCCATTCTTCACACGGGCCTGGCTTCAGGCTGGGCTTCCGCGGCGTGGCTGCCTTTCCAGCACCAGTGCTAGGAGAGAGGGACAGTTCAGTCCCGGGGCTGGGGAGGCTTCCACTTAGCTAGTGGGCATTGGGAACCAGTGGATCAAGGCTAGGCTGGCACACAGAGCCAGCCCTGTGCCCCACGCCTCTGCCGGGCTGTGGCTTGTGCACAGTGAACCAAGCTGCATGGCAGACTGGAGCTAAGCACTGCTGAGGCCTGTGCTTGCTTTGGAGTAAACCTGCTTGACCAGTTCCCTTGGTTCCTGCCGCATCTTCCTGTTCCTGGCGGCTCCGCTCGCTCTGCCGCACTGGCTTCAGTGGAGCGGGTGCAGAAAGGCCCTGTGGAGTCGAGGCTCCAGCACGGAGCTGTTGGGAGAGAGTTGTACAGCTGAGAGCTGAGCCAGGCTCTAAGCTGCTGGTGCTTCGGCACTGTCAGGAGTTAAGATGCTGCAGTTCAGTCTTGGCTCATGGTGCCAGCGAGCCAGTGGCTTTCTCCCTTGCAACCATGCTGGCGCAGCTGGGGGCTGCCCTCCTGGCCACCGCCATGTTGGAATCATCATCGTCGCCGGGTCCCACCTTGTCGCAGCCAACCTGGGGCCGCAGCTTGGATGCAGACAGGCTCTTCGGGGCTGCGGTCTATGCAGGGACAGAGCAGACATCTCCACCCAGACCAGGAAACAAACTTCCAAGCCAGTGTTGTACGAGAGGATGGTGAAGGTCCTGCTGTGCTGGTTGCAGAGCCACAATTAGAGGGACTTCATCGGCTTAAAAATGGGTAGCATCTGCCCTTACTGTTGCAAAGGTCCCTGCTCAGAAGCGATGAGATGGGACAGAGCATTTCTCTCTGCAGCAGCTTGTCTGTGCGGGATGGCTGCAGCCTCCAGCCCCAGTCATGCCTTCTCCATTCAGTTGGTTTCTCTTGCAAGTCTCCTGCATGGAGAAGAGGCACGGGGGCAGATTGGCTGGACCAGGAGCTCTGAAATGGACCCCACTTCGAGCTGCTGCTGTCCTTCAGTGGCTTTGTTAGAAGCCCCTGGTTTCAGCCCCCATTACCTGAAGGATGAGAGAGTTTCTTCAGAGCCTGGAGGTGATGGCTCGCACAGTCAAAAGTGCCTTCCTGTGCCCCAAGCAGGCTCATGGCTGCTTTGCCGGTCCCTCAGGGCTAGTTCAGACCCGGTGCGCTGGAGCAGAGCTGTTGCTGGCTGAGCATCGTTTGTGCGGGGCACTAGGGCTCTGTGCTGCCTTCTCACTTCTGCAAACCCAGCTCTGTGGGTCAGTTGTTCAGCAAGAGAAGCAGTGAGTGGCCCTGAGATGCCGCGTAGAGATGGCCTGAGGGGAAGCTGAGCAGAGCAAAGTGTCTGCACAGCGGCCGCTGCAGACCTGGGCTGCAAGGCAGACCCGCGTGCTGCTACAGGCGGGAGGGAGTCTGCAGGCCCTTGGCAGCGTGTGTGTTGGGGGATTGCATATAAGGGTCTTAGAATTGACATTAACCAGCTTCCCTGAGCTCGGGTGATGGAGGGTGGTGCTGTGGGCACTCAGCACCCTGTCTCTGCTCTGCCATGGTACATGGTGCTTTTGGTCGCTGTTTCCTCACCATGAATTTGTTGCAAAGGGACATTTCCTTGCAGCGAACTCAGGTCTCGCTGCTTTTACATTTGAGGTCATTTAAAGCCCGGTGGTGTATGGAGCTGCTCCACAGATAAGGCTGCAGCTCGTGTGCTATTAAAAGCCTCCTGTTCAGCTGCCTCGCAGCTTGCCAGGAGCTTGTGATTCCTCTCCTTTAGAAGAAAATTTACAGACAAGTCTGTGGTGCATTGAAGTTTATGGTGACAGATGTCATGAAAGACAAAGTTACTCCTGTACTGTAAATTGAATTGTAATGTAAACTGTGAACAGGAGAAGCAACAGCTATGGGCCAGGGGCTTAAATATTCAGATACATTCTCAGTTTACAGTGTCCGAAATAAAACCTGTGTGTGCACAAAGTATCACAGTGTAAGCACTAAACACGGCCTCTGCTCTGTGTCGGCAGAGCTGCCTGCTGGCCAGCCGCAGGGAGCAAGGTTGTAGTTCAGCCACATCACTAGAAACGTTTTAAATCGCTGCCAACTGGTGTCATGTTAATCCAGTCTGCAGCCCTAGTAATCCCATCTCCCTTCCTGGCTGGATAAGAAACCTGTTAGCTTGGCCTGATGAGCAGTGCTGCTCTGCACTCTTGCCCCCATGTAGGTAGTGCATTGGGGGCACTTGGCCTGGAAGGCAAGGCGCCGACTGCTGTGCAGGGGGCAGATCAGGAAAGGACACTGGCATTTTCCTGTCTGCCCAGCTGTTGACCTGCTGCCTCCTCATGGGCTGCGGAGAGGAAGACTACAACGTTTTGGGAAGGCGTGTGTGGACTGGCATGGAGGGTTTCATAGTTTCGTAGATTAAGGGTCGGAAGGGACCTAGTAGATCTTCTAGCCCGACCCCCCGCCAGGGCGGGAGAACAACAAAAACCCCAAAAACAAGAAACGGGACTCAGATGAGTCCAGCCAGGTAGGCATCCAGCTTCTTCTTAAAGACCCCCAGGGTAGGGGCCAGCACCACTTCCCTTGGAAGTTGGTTCCAGCTCCTAGCCGCCCTAACTGTGAAGTAGTTCTTGCGGATGTCCAATCTATACCTCCTCTCCATCAACTTGTGCCCATTACTCCTTGTTATGCCAGCGGGCGCTAGGGGAAACAGCGTCTCCCCCAAACCCTTCTGGTCCCCCCTAGTGAGTTTATAGACGGTCACCAGGTCCCCCCTCAGCCTTCTCTTGTGGAGGCTGAATAGGTTCAGGTCCCGCAGTCTCTCACTGTAGGGTCTGCCCTGTTGTCCCCGGATCATGCGGGTGGCCCTCCTCTGGACCCTCTCCATGTTGTCCACATCCCTCTTGAAATGGGGCGCACAGAACTGGACACAATACTCCAGCTGTGGCCTGACCAGCGTCGCGTAGAGGGGGAGGATCACCTCCTTGGCTCTACTCGAGATGCCCCTGTGGATGCACGACAAGGGTGTGTCTGGGTGGTCGTGGGTACAGTGAGCTGTGGGGGCTGTGTGTAGAGGGAGGGTGGTGGACAGAGGCAGCCTGGATGGGAAATGTTCAGGGTGCAGAATTGCTGCCTGAGCGGTGACAGCAGGTCAGCAGCAAAGGGCACTCGCAGGTGACAGCCAGTGTCCCAGCTGTCCTGTGAATGGCAGCTGCTGGCCATAGCACATGCACGAGCTGCAGCCAACATGGCTGGGCATGCACGTTTGGTCTGCTAGGGTGGGGCTCGGGGATTGCAGAGGCTGCCACACTAGAGACCTGCTTCCCACAGAACCCAGGACCAGGGGTCTGGGAAGCCATGGGGCATTCGGGATCTAATCCTTCTCATCCATCTCTGGGCCTCATCCCCTGCTGTATAGGGAGGACACGGTATTGGTGAGACCATTCTGGATTATGCTAGAGCGAAGGGGTTATTGCAGCCTCCAGCTGGGTGGTGCAGCGGCAGTGGACGTGGCTGTCTGCAAGGGCTGGTGGCACACTGGGCTGGTCCCTCAGGTGGGAGGGGACTCAGCAGACGAGAGGACATGAACCAGCCACGTGGCTCCCCCCGGCCAGGTCCCGTGCAGGCACGTGGCCCAGCCCTGGCAGAATCGTGGGATGCATTATTGCCTGCCTGGCTGCCCTGCTCTGACCCACCTTCCCCACTGGTTGTGTCCAGCGAAGCTCCTTCTCACGTCCCTGTTTTCTGCTCCCTTGCAGAGCGCTGTTTGACTATGACCGGACCCGGGACAGCTGCCTGCCCAGCCAGGGGCTCAGCTTCTCCTATGGGGACATTCTGCATGTCATCAACGCCTCTGACGACGAGTGGTGGCAGGCGAGACTAGTGACGCCGCACGGGGAGAGCGAGCAGATTGGGGTCATCCCCAGCAAGAAGAGGTGAGTGTCCAGACCCTGCTTCTAACCCTGGCCATCATCCAGGGTTTGGCTTGACAGCAGGGCCTGGTAGTGAGAGCCATCTGTACCAGTGGTTCCATTAACGGCCCCAACTTGCAGGTGTGAGCGGAAGAGCCCCAGCTCCCCTTGAAGGAAGCTGGGTCCACCCCCCTGCCTGGCTGCAGGGTCACAGGAGCAGGGCAGGAAGGCTGTTCATAGGGCTTCTGCAGCAAGACCCTCCTGAACAGAAAGGGATAGTGGGCCACCCCAGAGCCCAGGTCGCTGGGGCAGGAGCACACAGGCCTATTCCAGCAGGCACATGTCCACCTCTGGGTGTGAAAATCAACACAGCCCATTCCCTGCCCCTTGTGCTGCCCAGGACTGTCCATGTCTGCCAGCCAAGCCCCGTTGAGCACAAAACTTCAGACCTCGGGGAAAAGAGGAACCAGCCGACCGCAAGTTGTCTGTGGTTTCTGCGGGTTTTGTGTTGAAGCAGAAGCAAATTCTGGGCACATGAGAAGGGAGCAGGCACTTCCCTCCCATCCACCACCCCGCCCGTCCTTCGGTGCCTGCAGGGCCGATGTGGGCACAGGTGGTCTCTGTTGCAGCAGGAGCTGTCCGGGTTTGGAGGGAGATGGGCAGGATCCTTCTAGGTTGGGGATGTTTGGGAACAGTGACATGCAGGCCTGAAAGCAGCTTCACCCCAGTGGAGTTGGTTCCCTTGGGCTCCAGGTGGGGAAAGGCTTCTGCGTCCTCACCCGACCCCTCCTAGAGGGGCCAAGTTTTCTGTGCTCCCTGCAACACGCCTGTCCCTCCCGCCTCGTGCCTGCCCTACGCTCCTGGCAGGGCTTGTGCCAGACGCGCTCTTAGCCTGAGGGCTGCTAGGGCCAGCCAGGCTCTTGGCATTGGTTGCAAACCTGCAACAGGCCAGTTGTTCTAATCCATCTCTGACTGCAGGCCCCAGGGCCTCCAGCACTGTGTCCCTGCACGCCGGTCTGTCTCCTGGGAACTCTGGGCCGCAGGGCTGGCTGTGACCTCAGGGGTGCAGAGGTGACTCTTTGCAGGCTCGCGCGGAGCATGGCAAGGTGAACAGCTGCTGTGCGGGCACTAGCAGGTTTTCTTTCTCGACTTCTAACCAGGGTGGAAAAGAAGGAGAGGGCGCGATTGAAAACGGTCAAGTTTCACGCCCGGACCGGGATGATCGAGTCCAACAGGGTAAGCGCTGGAGCCGGGTGGGGGGAGGGCGGGCGGGTGGGCTGGGCTGAGGCTGTACCGAGAAG